CATATCACTTGATTTTCAAAAGGTGAACACCATTATCACGGAAATCAGTAAGGATTATCAGAGTATTTTATATAAGAGTATTAACGTTTGTGATAAGAAATCTCAGTCTACAGCTTGTTAAAAAGAAAAAAGAAAAAAAAGAAAATAGAAAAAATCATCCTCATTTCTATGTTATCATTCATACTGCTTTACTAACATGTCACATTTTAGTGAAAGAAGTAACTGGATTAAGCAGTGAAGAGAGACTTGCTGTGCTCCTGGCCTTATCTTAAAGATACCTTGCATTTCTTAGACAATTTCCTTACTTTCATCATATTTGACTTGAAGTAAAAAGAAATGATTAAATTTATTTCTTAGGTAAAAATAATAAAATTCTTCCTTGATTTAACTCGAACATTCTCCAACCTGTTAAAACTTTAATTCTGACTTGCACGATAGTAATGTCAGTCATCAAGACAATATTGTTGATTGTAATGATAAAAATGACAACAATGAGATGGACATTTTTTTTTTTTTTTTTTAAGAAAGAAAAAATCCTTGCATTTGTCAACAGTAAAATTTTATATCAGAATCTACTCAGTTTTCAAGAACTTAAAATTGTTTGCTTAGCTGCACTTTCAGATAAAAAGTTGTACCTGTTAACGAAAGTCAGTTTCACTTATTGTTACCTTTTTTATTATGGTAGAATAACTGGAAAATGAAATCCAGCAGATCATTAATATTCTTTTTGCAGGTAGGAAAATATAAGAGTTTCAGAAATTTCTTTTCTTTTCTCTTCTTTTTTTCTTCTTCTCATGATAAACCCCAAGGAAATGTCAAATCATTCTCTGATGTGTGTTTGTATGGAAATGTGACCAGAGTTACTATTATATAAAGATTGTGATATGTGTCAGAAACACATTTTTCTTTATTCTTTTTGTTCTTTTTAGCATCTACTTTCTTGGCAGTCCACTGAATGAATAGGCTATTTCCCTTCTGAATACATTTTAATTTGATCATTCACATAGCTCACAGATTCAGCAAATCTATGTACCTAATGGCTATATCCTTTTCAATTGTTGATTTATATAAATGACAATAATCTGCAAAGATATCTAAAAAGTCTCAAACAGCTAGCAATCCTAAATAAGACATTCATAACATATTACCTATTGTTCTGAAATCAAATTCGCATATACTTTGCTTAAACAAAAGCAGAGGTGACATGTATTATCTATATATCCTTATAAAAAGAAAAAATCAAGGCATCCCATAATTATGATCATATCATCAACTTCTAAACTGCCCATTGAGACAGCTAACTGCCAATTTTTTTTTTTCATTCTATCTTTGCAAACAAGAACTCAGAAATTATCAACTCCTCTGGTCACATTCTGTTTAAAACAGATTTGTTTTATGAGACATGTTGACTATAGTAGAAGGTTCTATTCTTTACAACATACCTGAGTCTGGAGTCGGGTCAAGCCACGGATCCACAAAATCTGACCCGTCCGCTTGCTGTCCTTTCCGTCCGAATCCAGCTTGTCTTCACTGGCCAGATCAGCAATGGGATCGTTTATAGGCTCCCCTGATCCATACCTGAAGCGGAAACATTTGTTTAAATTCAATGTCTACACAATCTCTTACCTAAAATGCATCTTCCAAGAGTAGGAAAAATTGCTAGCATCTTAGCATGACATTCTTCTATTCATAATACATAAATAGCTATTGACTGACTACTAACAGTGTAAAATTAAATATCAAAGAAAAATACAATTTTTTGACCAAAATTCCCATAAAACCTCAAAATAAACTGAACAAAACAAACAAATTTTTTAAAACAAATTAACACACTACTTCCCAGTCAATCTAGTAAGATATTTTTCTTCAGAACTAAAAAAAGAAGAAGAAAAATTGGGGGTACTTACGAGAATACATTCTTAGGTAGCTTTTTGGTTGGGATGGAGGTGACAACCTGTCCCCAGAGTAGCACTCCACATCCAAAGAGCAGACACCATAACCACAGCTCCAGTGACAGGGCTTGCGTTGAAAATGCCATACCACCAAACTGTACTATCACAATCTGTTGAACAAAATAGTATGAGATGAAAAGTGAAGATTCTCATATACAGAGACACCCTAAATAGTTCTTCCCCATGTCCTGTGTTATCAATATATAATGTCACCACTCTAATGAAGATGCTATTACCAATACTCAGCCACCTTGCTTTTGATGGGAGTATTTGCAATGCACTAGCTATTGATGGAACAGAACTAAGGAGTTTGAGATTTGATCAATGTCTCCTATTCTTAAAACAAAAATACACAATCAACTAGCACTATTTCTATCCAAAACAATTTTGGTTCTAGGAGGAACTGGCTGAGTGTTGACAATAATAATCATTATCTTTTTCTCTATGGAAAAAATGCAGAATAAGGATTCTGTGTCATTATCACACAAAACATGCAAAATATATCAAGAATAACTAATCTACAATAATAATAATATTATTACAAAATTTAAATAAAATAAAGCTTATGTACAAAGCCAACCGCAGAATAAACATCTTTGCAAGAAACCATCTTGAGGTCAGTCTTTCCAAAAAAAGAACAGCATTTCTAATTCTACAGTGCTATCAACATTAACAGTCCTTCAACTTTTAACATGCAGCACTCAATCTGCAATCCTTTTACAAGCAAAATAATTGCAATTCATAAATGATATTTGATCTTTCCAAAGAAAACCCACACAAAAATGCATTTGATTTCTTGCAATCTAGTAAAATGACAAGCACCATAACATATTGGTGATGCCAAAATTACAGTTCCGGGAGCTCCCCTCTCCTCAGAAGATATCATTAAGGCCTTCACCACATGCCAACCACAGGCATGAAAGACTTACCTGACTAGCTAGTGTACTAAGCCAGATGCTGTAGAAAATGGGATTAGTAAAGAAACCCTGGAACACATTGCGCTGTCCGTGAATTTTCCGTGCATTGATTTCGTTGAAGAGAGTCATCATGACGAAAGTGTTGAAGATAATGGTGAAGTGCTGGGATGGCGGGTCACGGATGTCAGCATAACGACCAGAGTCAATGTCTAACAACTTATCACCTGTTGAAAAAGATTTAGACGAGATGAAATAATGGTGGTCTCTGAACAGTTTCTAATAATAACTCCTATGTTCTACATTACTGTAAATATTTGATGTAAAAACAAATGTAATAATGGCATAAAAGAGAGAGAGAGAGAGCAAAAATGAAAAAGAAAAAGAGAAAAGAAATATATAAATATATATAAACATACACATACACATACACACACACACACACACACACATATATATGTGTGTGTGTGTGTGTGTGTGTGTGTGTGTGTGTGTGTGTGTGTGTGTGTGTGTGTGTGTGTGTGTGTGTGTGTGTGTGTGTGTGTGTGTGTGTGTGTGTGTGTGTGTGTGTGTGTGTGTGTGTGTGTGTGTGTGTGTGTGTGTGTGTGTGTGTGTGTGTGTGTGTGTGTGTGTGTGTGTGTGTGTGTGTGTGTGTGTGTGTGTGTGTGTGTATGTGTGTATGTGTATGTGTGTGTGTGTGTGTGTGTGTGTGTGTGTGTGTGTGTGTGTGTGTGTGTGTGTGTGTGTGTGTGTGTGTGTGTGTGTGTGTGTGTGTGTGTGTGTGTGTGTGTGTGTGTGTGTGTGTGTGTGTGTGTGCATGTTTGTGTATATCGAATGTCCAAAATATCTCTCTATGAATGAAAATCTGGCAACAGTGTTCCTGTTCAATTCAAATTCATTTTGGCTATTTCACTGTCTAGCAAACTTATTTGATCATACTTTTGAATTTAAGGAGGAAAGAATGTTTGAAGCTAAAAATACTTAAAGATTACAAATACACTTCCCAATTTTTGTAAAATTCATCCACAACAGAATGTTGTAGCATATTTTAAAAACATAAGTGCTTTCTTTCACCATTACCTATGGGTAACTGTTTATAAATATAAAACATGCTCTGCACTACTCACCATAAAATAACAAAACAAATATAACACAAATCATGTACATGGCTTGACCAAGGATATTCTTCATCATGGTGCGAGAGATGAGAGGCTTAGTGCGCCCATATGGCTTTCGTAGCAGGAGATCGGGTGTGGGAGCTTCTGTTGCAAGTGCCAAGGAAGCCAAAGTATCCATGATAAGGTTCACCCACAACATTTGTACAGCCTGAAATGATAAGCACACTCTGGTAAACAGTGTCTGGAAGCATAACTATTCAACTTCTAGGTTATTCAATTCAACAGTCATCCAAAGAGAACCAAAACACTGCATTCATGATACTTACCTTGAGAGGACTATCATTAATGGCACAGGCACCAACAAAAGCCACAACGACAGCAACAACATTTACTGTCAACTGGAACTGCAGAAATTTTGCAATGGAATCATACACATTCCTTCCCCACATGACAGCTTTGACGATTGAAGTAAAATTGTCGTCAGTGAGAATAATGTCTGATGCCTCTTTGGCGACATCAGTACCAGCAATGCCCTGTTGAAACAAAATCATGGAAATAATCTTTTTGAAATTCAGATCAAAATCATAATATTTTGAGATGACTAATGACAACACCTAAATGTCCTACAGACATGATTCAACAAATCAAAATGTTATATATATAATATATATATATATATATATATATATATATATATATATATATATATATATATATATATATATATATATATATATATATATATATATATATATATATATATATATATATATATATATATATATATAATGTATATATATATATATATGTATATATATGTATATATATATATTACACATATATACATATATATACATATATATACATACATATATACATACTACATACATACATATTGATATATATATATATATATATATATATATATATACACATATATCTCACATATCATTACTCACTAGTATACTATCTATAATATATATATATACTAGCTTCAACTTCTACAACATAATACTATACCAAGCTATCACATACAATACATATATACCATCTACATACATACACCCCATATCTATCAGTATACTATATAATATATATATATAGATTCGTATAGTGGCCTCATAAAGTCACTTATAGTATCATAATTATAATGCCTATTTTATATATAGAGGTCAGGTATATATACTTTACTCATATATATAGTATACCTCACTAGTGAGTAGGTTTTACAATACCACTACAGTACGGTTACATTATCACTTACATACACAGTATATGAGATTACCAAGGAGGGTACGAGTGACATAGACACACATAGTATAGTATATAGAGTAGGTAAGGGTAGGTGATATAAGGGGTAAGGGGGAGAGATTTATGTATAGTAGGTACCTATTCATAGGGATTAGTAGGTCTGTGTGAGTATACTGTACTGTTCATAGTATATATTTGTACCTGTGGTATATTAGTGTAAGTGTATGTGTGGTACTATTTTTATTGCGTGTGTATATCGGTGGATGTTTCCTTGTTATATGTAGTCTATGTCTGTCCTGTGCTCACAATAGTAGTGTTGTGATATGTAGCGTTGACTGGGCATATATGTGTCGAGTGTATATTCTGTGATGTTGTATTATAAGCTGATTAATAGTATTTTGTGTGTATCATGTATGTATATTATGATTCTGTACTTTGATCTGTTTACTACCTATGTAGTATGTTAGTAGTTAGTATTAGTACTGCTGAGCGTTATATAGTATTCTGTGTCTAATAATTTAGGGTAATATGTTATACTGGTATTGTACTATAACATTAGCTATTGTTCATTGATATATCTTGGTTAGAAGTAAACTTGAACAGTCATATTCTTCAAACACTTCCTATTGTGTCAACATAGGCCATGTTAGTGGCAAAGGCCATACAATCAGCTTTAGATTTGTGTTGTGAGTAGTCACGCATCATCTTGGTGTCCACATTCCCAGTGGACAGCTCTATCTACCTTGGTCTTTTCTATTAGTACCGCTCAAACTATTTAATAACTCAATGCCATACCTCTGACCAGGGTATACTTGTCCGTAGGAGAGGAACGAGCCAGACAGCAGCTTGGCCAGACTTTGTCAATTAAATGTTGCTGATCTGAAAAAGAAATTCACTGAGGGATGGTTGTAATCATGTGGAACTGTTTAACCCTCTTCTTATTTACACTCCCCACCAAATATGCTTCATGAGAATTTCCAAAAATTACTCTTACATAATAAGACTTCAAAAATAAGCTAAAAACTATATATCTGAAGATTTTTTTTAGCTCTTCTTACCTGCAATGTCTTCAATACATGAAATCTTTCTGGCCTTTAGTCTTTACTCATTTTAGGGCCAGTATTAATGAAAAGATTCATTCGCACTAGATTCCCTTCTTAAAGCGCTAGCAGTTCTTAATAGAACTAATAATTCAATGCAATGCCATGCAATCCTATTTTTTTCAAAATCAGACAATCGCTAGTATAACATGACAATGAATACAGTAGTATTACGTATTTTGAAATGAGATGACTTAAGATAAGTAAAAGGAGATTTATAAAAGGAATTTACCTCTGTTAGTATTCAAGCTAGGTATAAAAGGGAAGCAAAATATATTTACGTTATGATTAATAACAGCAACTCGAATAATTATCACTTACTTATTCTAATTATTTCAAATGCTTCAAAATATAATTACATGTCATACTAGCACAAAGTAATGGAAACTTAATTAAATATACCACATTTGAGTTGATTTCTCATGAAACCAAAATCTCATTATGAAGTGAACTAGTTTATCCTAGGCATGATCGCTGATATCAGCATTAAATTTGATATTGCGTGTATTCAATAGCACATTATTCAAGCTCAATATGTATAATATATTTGGACAGACACTAACTTCAAACTTTAGCTGTTAAATCCTGCCTCATTTCCTAAGTTGAGCCAAACAAAACCATTTTCTACCATCAAAACACTTTCACCATTACACAAGTTCTTACCTTTCCTGATGCATCTCTTACTCTCCTATTAAACTCTTTTCCCTCTAGAATGAGACTATTGTCCCCAGGTCTAAGAATTCCACATTTGCTAGCAATGGAGCGGGCAGTGTTGATATTATCTCCGGTGCACCCATTCGCGCCACAGCTGATGCCTGCCCGCTGGCACTTTCGCACATGGCATCGGCAAGTGCCTCGCCCACTCTCAGCGTTGAAAGCTCTCACAGACTCCACGACTACAATTTGCCGGATTCACGTTATAACAGAAGTCAACAGCGCGTCATGGTAGTGTTGATGATAAGCGTGGTATCGCTCAATCATCGCCAGATTAGGGCTCGTCTGAGGGGGTCAAGAATGCAAAACTGGAAAAGGGCAGTGCCAGTGTAGGTAGGATACAGGGGAGGAGAAAGATGGAAAAGGGGAAAAGGAAGAAAAAAGAAACAATCATAATCAATCCTGAGCAGAATGAATGGAGAGAGCACATAGTGTAAGAGAATGTTGAAGTTCTAATATATCCATAGGCAGCACACAGCACCAAATATGAGTATAGTTAGTATATATATGTATAGGACAATAATAGATACATCACAGTAGGGGTGATGGAGCATATGAGATAATACAATACATACAGTGATAGATAGGGAGGGTTTTAGAATGGATGCGATAAGACAAGAGCAGCGACACACGAAAACACAGAGCACAGCGACACACACACAGTGAGAGAGGGAGGGCAGTAGATATTAGATATAGGGAGAGGGAGTAATAGGAATGATAGGTTGAATGAGTATAGGATGACTAGAGGTATGGTTTAAGAGTAGTAGAGTAGGTAGGTAGGTTCAGAGACATATAGTAGGCGAGTAGCAGATAGCAGTGAGTATACAGTACAGCAGGTAGAGAGACAACCCAACGACACTGAGACACACAGCTTCAACAGCGTACACACTAGCACCAGCACACGAATAATATAGAGGGTGGGAGAGCTATTGTAGGGTATGATGAGTAGGTAGTATGAGAGGAAGTATAAGAGGGTATAACAGTACGGGGGTGAAGAGTAACTAAGGATATAATAATTATAATATAGATATAGTAGTGGATAATATTAATAGTATGATAGATAGAGTTAGGTATAATCATGATATAATAGATAGTCGCGTACTGAAAGTAGTAAGAATGATTAAACCAGTTTAGTACAGATGTAATATGTATAATACTACAAGTAATGATTGGCAATTAGACATAAGTAATAACGATTATATTATTAAGATATATAAATATATATATGCATGAAAAAGAGAGAAAGAAGAGAGGGAGGTGAGATAGTGATATAGTAGTGTATAGTGAAGGTAAGAAAAGTAGATATAGTAAGAGAGAGAAGTATAGATAGATAATAGTATAAGTGAGTGAGTAAAAGAGAGGATAAAATAGATATGGTAATATATGTTAAAGATTATGATATATATAGTATAGAATAAATAAGATAGTAAAGATTAAGAAGAAGTAGTATATAGAGGTATATGAAGATATAAGATAAGAGTATATATAAGAGAGAGGTATAGTTAGTAATGTATAGTATATAGAGAGAATATTATATGAATGGAATAGTGATAGTAGAAGGAAGTAAGAGGTGGTATATATATATATATATGTATAATATATATTAGTATATATATATAGTATATAGTATATAGTGAGGAGTATATGTATATGTATATGTAATAGAGATGTAATATAGATATAAAGTAGTATATATATATATATATATATATATATATATATATATATAAATGTAAATTATATATATAATATATAAATACATATAGTGTCCATACAAATGTTACATATATACATAGCATAAAACATATCTATCTCTCTAAGTCATACAGATCTAGTGATATAATACATTACACATATGTAATATGAGGGAGAGAGGGGAGTCATATATCTGCAAATAATGAATAGGCATCTATATATATAGAGATAAACATAATAATATCAGTATATCTATATTATAGGAACGATACATACTATCTATCCATGGGCTATCATTTATAATTGTGTACGTCTAAATGACACATGTCTATACATACAGAGATCTAGGGACGTAAACTGTTCAGGCGTAGCATATGTGGCTACACATAGCTGTCTATATTCGCATACCTCTGGTTAAGAATCCAGCACACGAAGATAGTAATGAGTACCATGAGGGGAGGTATAAGGTTCAGATACCGATTTCTATTGTGCATGTACAATGGTAGTGAACTTCATGCAATGCATATCTTAGCCACCGAATCGACGACAGGAATATCGAGTCTATTTTATGCCAGGTGAACTAAAAATTTACTGATAATGAGAGAAGGCACACAAGATCCAGGCATGATAATAGTATGCATCTTGGCTGTTAGTGCTATGGATTTGGATTAAATTTTAATACAGAATTAACATTTATGATGTCTACAGAAGGTGCGTATAGATAGATAGAAAAAAAAAAAATATAAAAATATGCATATATATGATATATATACTTATATATATGATTTATATATATGTATTTATCACACACATATATATTAAGATATATATATCAGCATGTATTAATATCATATATATACATATATATATATATATAGCACTATCAGGTATAGTATACATTATATATCTAATATATTATTAGTATAACGAGTATAAATACTATAGATATATTATTATATAGATGTGTATGTAGTCATATATAGATACTCTATAATATAATATCTACTATTATATTATACATATATATATATATATTATAATACTATTATATACCTATAACTATATTATAATATATATACATATATATATATAATAGATATATTAGTATATAAATATATAATATAACATATATAGTATTATAATATATATATGGTATATATATATATAATATATATAATGTATACTATATATTATAGTATATATATATATATTGTAGAATATATGTATTATGATATATTATATATATAATATCAGTA